TTCTCCCTTTGAACCATATGTTATCGCCCTCTGGTTGCTAGGAGAACATAACGAACATGATCAGCTGTATTTTCTATCCTTTTTATATCAGTATAAACTCTGTGCTTATTTTCTGTATATAGCGACAATAGACAATAATAATTAGCAAACATTTGAAACGTTTAGCCATACACAATTAAAGTGTATACGAATAATGTCAATTTAATGCACCTTTTGTATTAATGGATACCGGAGAGGTGTTAGAAATTATCACGAAACCCACATGCACCACGTTTTAAAAACGACCTACGCCCATGTCTAGGAAGAGATCATTAGACATTCAAATGATTTGTTTCTCGCATTGTGTGCCCACAAAGAGAGGGCTATAGTAATTTTATCCTTTAGAGATTAGGGCATTGTACACCTAACGACACATCGCCCGTAACAAAAAGGAAGTCGGAGAAATGCAGAATTTAATATTTATCGACGGGTTTTTTTTTCCTACTCGAACACCCATCAACGTCTCGGGCGCGCATTAATTTATTACCAGAAATCCGTGCTCCTCCCTAATATCAATCAGTGCTCGTGTCATTAACAAAAACAAAAGCCGAAGGCAACAAATTGATGATTGAAACTTTTTGGAAGTTAGTTTTGTAATTAAAGCGCTTGCGTTTTGTATTTCCCCGCCGAAATCGGCGCGCAAGAAGTAACGTAATTTAACCGCCGTTATTAAAATACAATAACGAGCAAAGACGGGTGGAAAAATGAAAGGGGATCGAATAAAAATGATCGTGAATTTGTCTTCTCGACGAAAATCAAAACTTACTGCCATCGGGTAATGTGATTATAATTACAATGGCTGATAAGGTCGGATGGGACGCCTACAAAAATCAAAAATCGTATACGAGTTGATGATGCCTATGGGGTATTAAGGTACAAATTGACAAAGAACTGACTTAATGTCTTAGAGGATAGCTTGATCGATGTCTGATGGGTGTTTTTCGTTTTTTAATTCTCTTTTCTTACATCCTCAATTGCCGTTGTTTAAAAACGTGTGAATGCGATTTGTCGATTTTTACGCTAATTGCCTCTTTGTTTCTTTTAGTACCAGTAAATGACAACGATTGGGGATCGACTTGAACAATGAATTAGATTTGAATTAGATTAGGAGAAAATGTGAACTTAGGTACCCAAATCTTCCAAATTCCTGAAGTTCCCGAAGGTTGCCAATTTTCTCAAATTCCCCTAAAAGTCAGTTATTTTTAAAATTACAACGAAAAACCACATGCTTTGTTTGATTTTGTTCACAGGTGCACATGTCCCCTATAAATTCAGAAGCTGAAGAGTTGGAACGATTATGGATATCTATCACTATTGATACTTACCTACATCTTCCTAAGCAACTCCTATTATAACAATAGATTCTTCTACACCTCAATCAATCTATAATAGCGAGCAGCCAAATGTCAAATCAAAGCAATAACATATAAAAGAGAAAAATTCATTCCATCCATTCAATGGGAGAATTTAAAGCCAATTCAAACAAGCGATTTTTCCTGAAAAAAAGGACAAGCATCGAAATCCTCTTAATTTAAAAAATACACAAACACATTGTGTTCGGAATTGAAATGCTAAAAGTGTTACATCGAAGGGTGGCGTTCAATCAAATTTAGGGAGTATTGGCTGTCTACCCCGCGCAACAGGTCGCCGTACATTCTGTCGGTGAAAAATCGCTTTTCAATAGGTTGAAAACGAATTGCTTCTGGGGGCAATTCGACGTTTACACAATTTTTTAGTGTTGTCGCAACTTTAATGGAGTCGCGATTTCTTGAAGTTTGCACAATGGATTTTTTGCAATTGGATTTATATTTTAATTCTAGTTCGATTGCAGTCTCCATGCTATTTTGCAGAAGCCTACCATGATTAGATATAGGGATTCGTCGATTTCGTACTAAAACGGTTATATCTCCCCTGAAAGAGAGGAAAAACCTTACTCCACTAATATATGAAGATCTTGTGATAATTGTAAGGAATGCAGCACTGACCAGACCCCTCAGTTCAACACTCTTCACCAAAAAGGTATAATGTTGTTTGCCCTTATATTATACAGGGTGCCCATGAAATATAGTATCTATCTCGGTAATACTGATGTATACAACTTTTTTCTATATGGAAGTTGTTTATTTCCCATAATAAGGCAGTATTCAGATGCTTTGATTTCAGAAAACAAATGAGTAACTAAAAACAATTGATTTTTTTTAAATAGCAATGCACCCTTGATAGAGTTTTTTTTCGATGATGTACTCTTATATAAAAAAAAATTTCAAAATCATCAATAAATTAATCTAGATATCCTACATCAAAATAAAACAAATGAATGTGTACGTTTGTATTTAACCTTAAAGACAACACGAAATTAGCAATAATTGCCGCAACAAATTCTCCCAGAATACTACTCAGACATTAATTTCAAGCTTTCCGTGATAGGTTAGTTGACTGGCTTGCAGTTAATAATAAAAAATTTTTGAACACTTATTGCGATGAAAACCATTTTATTGCTAATTTCATTTGTCTTCAAGGTTTAATAAGAAACGTCACATTCATTTGTTTTATTTTGATGTAGGATATCTAGATTAATATAATTATATTTTTTGAAAAATTGTATTGTATAAGGGTACTGACACCATCAAAAATAGAAAAAAAGTCCCTATAAAATGAACCTAATGAATAAGTATACTGCAATTTAAAAAAATTCAATAAAACAACTGAATGCTGCCTTATTATGGGAAATAAAATGTTAGACAGCTTTCATATAAAAAAATTTTGTATACATATATACTATGTTCCATTCATAATGGGCACCCTGTATATATTTTCATAAATGATCATGAAATCTTCATTTCCTCACGAATATCCCATACTGTGCAGACCCCTGGTCTATGTTCTAGAATTGAGTGTTAGCGTATATGTTCCTTACACCAAAATTGTGGTACATAGATCAGGGGCCTACGGGGTATATGAGATATTCATGAGGAAATGAAGAGTTCATGGTTCTTTATGAAAATATAGCACAAACCACCCGGTACAAGATTCCCCCACAGAAACATTCAGTTTTTAAGAACTCTCTTATATTGTCTTGGAAAACTACGGTAGTACCGGGGGGTCTGGGGGGTATGGAATACCCCCCCCCCCAGGTACACGAAGACCTTATGTTAATGAAACAGAACATTCAGTTTATTTTATCGGTATAGAGTACCACCCAGGAAAAGGGAAATTTAAAATGATTTTTCATTAACGTAAGATCTTCGTGTGCCTGGGGGGTATTCCATACCCACCACACCCCCCGGTACAAGATTCCCCCACAGAAACATTCAGTTTTTAAAAACTCTCTTATATTGCCTTGGAAAACTACGGTAGTACCGGGGGATCAGGGGGGTACCCAAACTCCCCGGTACAAAATTTACCCACAGTAACATTCGTTTTTAAGAGCTCTCTCGTATTGTCTTGGAAAACTACGATAGTACCGGGAGTCTGGGGGGTATAACCCCCCTGGTACACGAAGGCCTTATGTTAATGAAACAGAACATTCAGTTTATTTTATCGGTATAGAGTACCACCCAGCAAATGGGAAATTTAAAATGATTTTTCATTAACGTAAGGTCTTAGTGTTCCTACACCCCCCGGTACAAGATTCCCCCACAGAAACACAGAAACATTCAGTTTTTAAGCACTCTCCTGTCTCAAGTCTCAAGTTAAAATTAGGCTTTCACTTTAAAATTAAGCCCGCTAGAAACATATTTTTCTAAGCTCGAGGCTTGAATCATGACGATCAGCACTAATTAATTACATCTCGCTTAATAAGAAAAAGCTAGCTACAAAATTAATCAGTTAATTAACACGTTAGTAGTCTCAAGGTCTAATTTGGCCTTCAGTTTGAAAATTAAGCCCGCTAGAAACATATTTTTCTAAGCTCGAGGCTTGAATCATGACGATCAGCACTAATTAATTACATCTCGCTTAATAAGAAAAAACTAGCTACAAAATTAATCAGTTAATTAACACGTTAGTAGTCTCAAGGTCTAATTAGGCTTTCAGTTTGAAAATTAAGCCCGCTAGAAACATATTTTTCTAAGCTCGAGGCTTGAATCATGACGATCAGCACTAATTAATTACATCTCGCTTAATAAGAAAAAACTAGCTACAAAATTAATCTGTTAATTAACACGTTAATGTTAATGAAAAAGTACATTCAGTTTATTTTATCGCTATAGAGTATCACCCAGCAAAAGGGAAATTTAAAATGATTTTTCCTTAACGTAAGAACTTCGTGTACCTGGGGGGGTATTCCATACCCCCAGACCCCCCGGTACAACATTCCCCCACAGTAACATTCAGTTTTTTAGAACTCTCTTGTATTGTCTTGGAAAACTGCGGTAGTACCGGGGGGTCTGGGGGGTATGGAATACCCCCCAGATACACGAAGACCTTATGTTAATGAAAAATAACATTCAGTTTATTTTATCGGTATAGAGTACCGCCCAGGAAAAGGGCAATTTAAAATGATTTTTTATTAACGTAAGATCGTCGTGTACCTGGGGGGTTTTTCATACCCCCCAGACCCCCCTGGTACAAGATTCTCCCATAGTAGCATTCAGAATACCCTGAATATAGTATACATTTCTTGGGGTTGAATGTTTTGATTGAGAATGTTGAACCTAGGGGTTTGGGGGTATGGAATACCCATCAAAGTACTCGTAGAACGATATTGCGATATCGCACTAGTGCTTTGGGTCCTGGGGGGAGGGGGGATTCCAGGTTTACATTCTACCACAAAACGTATACTTGTCTATTAGTGTCTATGTCTCATCTACCATAGTGCTGGAACAAGAGCCAGCAGGCTATAAGATACCCGTCAGTAAATGAATTTATACTCGTAGCACCGGAGGGTCTGGGGTAGGAAAATTTTACGATAGTTGTAGGGAAGAAGTCCCTTCTAATTCCATCAAATTCGGAAACACTCTTAACTAGTCGGACAAATCGACCTTTGTGCTGGAAGTGTTTGGAACACGTCTCACCCTCTCACCCTTATAGTTATAGATCACCCTCCACCTGTGGCACGACACTACAGAAGCGGGAAGAGCACCGGAAATTCGGTCTTTTTGTGTCTTATGGTTGCAGAACACCCTCTACCCCTGATACAAAAATACAGAAGCGGGACATTGGAACTTTTGGTATTTCCTTCCTTGACCAGGTAACTGTTGCAGGCTAATTACATTGACAGATAGTAATGCAATGTATCAATGACTAATTATCGATAAGCTACTGGAAAATTATGAACGTAAACAGATAAGCAAGGTAAATAACCACTTTCTCAATAACGATGACAGTGAAACAAAAAAAAGGAACTTTGTGATTTTTTTTAATCAATTCCTTATCAGTGTCTATTTGATGTTTGATTTAATATCTTCAAATCGCTTGGAACAACGACCTATTGCAAAAGCAAAAATGAAGATTAGATTGGCGGGTCTAGGTATAAAAGAAAGCGCGTAGAGAAGACCCATCAGTCAATCGTCATGAAGGTACCAGTGGCATTTCTTCTGCTTATTGTTTTCTCACTCTTAGTGACCTCTTCTTCGGCAGGTGGAAGTAAGTATTAGTTTGGCATGGTGCGAGTTATTGCATTGTAATTTTCTGCAGGCGAGGATAATAGGTGCACGAAACTTTACGTCCCACTTCCATTCACTGTGTGTAAGCAGCAATGCGAGAAAACGGCTCTGGTCGGGGTTTGCAAGAAGGGGCTGCATTGTTGTCGTTCATAATCTGGATTTTAAATTAACTTGATGTAAGATTAATTATTAACTCTACAGTTCCAAGTATGTGGAAATCAGGTATCCATTATTGTTGATGGTACATACTACAATAATAATAGATTAGACATTTAAATTTGTTTTTTTTTAATCTTTTGGGTTTTGAATGCCTTCGATGATTCGGGAAAACGCATTCTAGCGTCCTCACATGCCCCCACAGGTGTTCAGGAAATCTTTTGGAAAATAATTAATGCTCTACAAGGACCTTGGATGCACTTAGAAGGTCATCCAAAATGCTTTCCATGGCACCTTAGTACTTTTATAACGCTTTCTCTAAGTACTTATGCAATTTAAGTCAAATCTAAGAGGCTCTGGAAACAGTTAGAGGCCTTCTCAGTGCTTTCGAGTATTTTTCTAGACCCCTTTCAAGACTTTTCAAAATGTTAATTGTTTTTTATAGACGCCCTTTTTGGGGTTGTTTCCCAAAGTAAGAAAATCTGAAATAAATATTCACCAAATATGCTGTGGCGATGCGCCGCATGAACATCCGGCAGCAAACTAAAATGTGCTGCACCCTCATTGGTCACAACATATCGGCCAGCCAATGACAGCGTAGCACTTAGGGACTGTTGAAAACATTCAAAGGAGTGCTCTGAAACGTCTTCTAAAGAATGTTCCTAGGTACAGTTTAATGGGTCTTTTCCATAGCTGTACGCTTTTTAGATAATTTTCAGGCCTACTTTGGCCTTGTTTAGTACTTTTCAGGTACCTAGTTTAAAGTATATTTTTTGGAATTAAGCTGGAAAGTGCCGTACTTTAGTAAGGAACTCGTTAACTTTTAAACGCGAGGCTGGTCGAAGCTTAATTCAAACTTACATTCGAAGCCAAGTCGAATTTGTTTTTATCAAGACACGAATAACGCGCGAGGATAAATAAGAAGTTGACTTTCTTCTTTCGACTCAATTAATTTGAATTTTACTTTACAAGGTTAGGTACATTCCAACACGTGGCCAAACTAGACTGCATGGGCACGTCTCACTGTTCTAAACCATAATCTCTAGAGATCTATGGCGCAGTGGAAGGAATTGGGGATACTAAAGCGATCTAGAGTGCTTTTTTGAATGTTGGAAAGCGCTTTTATTTTCATTTTCTTTGATTTTGCGAGCCTTGACAGCATTTAAACTGTTTTGGAAGAAGCATGGATGCGCGTAGAAAAACACGAACTATTTGGGACTTTTAAGAGGCAACAGCTGGATAAATTTGTTCCTTAGAAATTTTATTATCATTTTAGAGCATCCCCATAAACGTTCCCCCAGTAATTAATCTTAAATTAAAATCACCCAATGTTACGACAACATTTTAGTCCGTTCTTGCAAGCTCCAAACTTTGACGCGTTTTCACATTCCTGTTTACACACTGTCAACGGAATTGGAATGAAAAACTTTCTACACGGTGTAAATTCAGCTGCAAACAATTACAATGCAATAACCCAACGAACGCAGTGTAATACTTACTTCCAGCTGCCGAAGAAGAGGCCACTAGGAGTGAGACAGTTATAAGCAGAAGAAGTACAATTGTTGTCTTCATGGTTATGGATTGAAGAGTGTTCCCCAGCCACTCTCTTTTATACTGAGACCAGCCAAAATCTAATCGTCATTTTTGATTTTGCAATAGGACGTTGATCTAAGCGAGTCGAAAATATTAGGTGAAAAAACAAATACTAAAAAGTAAATATTGATTGATAAAACAAACTCAAGGTGGTTTTTTTTTGTTTCACTGCCCTCTTTTGCATATCTCAAACTTGAATGTCTTTGTCCCTCGTTCCGCGAATCTAACTTATTGGGAAAGTAGTTGTTTACTTCATTTTCCAGTACCTTATCAAAAAACAATACAGTTTGCGAAAGTAATTAACCTGTTGTACTTACTTCGTACAGAACTTAAATCATATTCAATATTCCCAGTCGAATTTCTTCTCGAATTCGTTTCCAATTCTACTTGAATTCATTAAACTCTTTCCGAACTTCCTCCCTCGTCCAGTATTTCTCTTCTGCTTTCCCTTGTCCTTTCTACTTCCTTGCATTCCCATATAAGACGATCAATATATCTTCCTCTTTCTCTCCACATAGTTTCCATTTCCTTCCTTCTTCGCATCACGTCTCTTTTTCTCCATCCTTATTTCGGCACCTAAATCTCGCTATCAGTTTTTCGACACTTCCTCCGTTACCAGCTTCTTGTACCTTCTGTTTTCTCTTGAACTCTCGATTCTTTCGGGTCCGTTAACTTGGCCCCCCCAGCACTGAGAGATTTGATAGTCGTATGATTTTGAAATGAATGCGCTCGTTATGCGCTCATATGCGCCACCGATAATAAGTCTTGCGCCATTATCGTTTTTTAGAAATCCGAAAAAAACATGGGGGGGGGGCAAGTGACCGTAGCCCCCCCCCCCGTACGTATTTTGTCCCTTGTAACTAGGTCACCTGATACATTTGGTTATGCGCTCAGTTACGCCACTTGAATTAAAGCTAGCGCCATTACAGTTAAGCCGTGACAAATTTTTAAAAAGTGGGGGGCCAACTTAACGTTTTTAAAAGTTACTTTTTTTTAACATTTTTTCATACGAAATTGTACTCTCAGGTATGCGCTGAAATGCGCCGTAAAAAGATATCTTTGCGCCATTATTGTTTTTTGGTTATCCTTAAATATATTTGGGGGGGGGGGCAAGTGAACGGAATCCCCCATAACGCATTTTGCTACCGGTATTTGTGCCACTTGATACATCTGGTTATGAGCTCAATTGCGCCACTTGAATTAAAGCTAGCGCCATTGTCATAAAAAAATTTTAAAAAGTGGAGGGTCTAACTTAGCGTTTTCAAAAGTTATTTCCGGAAGTGCGTCCATTTTGAAAATATTTTACATCGATTCGGCCTTCGGAGTAACTCCTAAATACAAATTTTTAAAAACCTACTTATTTTACTTTCTCAGAATCGTTTAACTAAAGCTCCCAAAAAAACACCCTGTATAGTGTTTCTGAAACACTATAATGGCGCCAAGATTTTTGTTTACGGCGCATTTTAGCGCATGATGAAAGGTACGATGTAGTAGAAAAACCATGTTAAAAAACGTAACTTTTGAAAACGTTAAGTTAGCCCCCCCACTTTTTGAAAATTTGTCACGGCTTAACCGTAATGGCGCTAGCTTTAATTCAAGTGGCGCAATTGAGCGCATAACCAAATGTATGAGGTGACCTAGTTACAAGGGACAAAATATGTACGGGGGGGGGCCACGTTAACTTGCCCCCCCCCCATGTTTTTTCGGATTTCTAAAAAACGATAATGGCGCAAGAGTTATTATCGGTGGCGCATAACGAGCGCATTCATTTCAAAATAATACGACTATCAAATCTCTCAGTGGGGGGGGGCCAAGTTAACGGACCCGATTCTTTCTATGTTGCAAGTGTACACCTTTGTCACTTTTTGTAACCTCTTTTCCACCCTTTTCCCTATTTCTCCCCCTTTCGACCTCAGCATATATTTTTTTTGTCTTCCTACATTCGTTTTGTGTTCATCCTCGTCGATAAACATTCCTTCACCAATTCACTTTCTCTCTCTTATTTCCTCAAATACAATCCTGCGTCCTGGCTCTATCCTTATCTTCTTCATTTTTGGTTTCCTCAGGTAATCTGGCGTCCTTCCGTTTAGTCCCAGGATCCGTTTGTATTTCATCTTCTATCCCCAGATCTCCATTTTATACATAAACACCCCTCCCCTCATTGCATAAAAAAGGTATTTTCTTATTCTGAATTCGTTTTTGAATTTCCTCTCCCTTATTCCCCACACTCCTATTTCTTAATTCCCTTATTTGTGCGTTTGCTCCATTATTTCGTTGCATCTGGTATTCTAAATATTTAAATTCTCTTCTTTCTCTACACTTTTTCATCCCTGCACTTCCATGTTACCACCGTTTTCCTCCCTCTCGCATCTTCGATTTTCCGACATTTAACTCCATTGCCTTTCTTTCGCAATACTTCTCCATTCTCCCATCATTTTCGTAATGGTTCCTATCTCTGTTTCCATTATCACTGTGTCGTCCCCGTATGCCAAGGACCTTCTGCCCACTACGATTTCCACTTTACCTTGTCTTAGTATTTTCTCCACATCTCTTATGTAAAACTTAAATTAGGTGGGGCTAAGTAGATCTCCGTCCCAGAACACCTCAGACTCTTTCCCTCCTATCCTTACACTATGTCTTGTCTCTCAATATAACTCCTTGATTCTGTTCTTTAAATTATTATCTATTTTCCCATCTTTCATTTTCTACACTTTTTCCCTTTCTACTGCAATCTCTTTCTCCTCTTTTGTGATTCGACAATATTACCTCTTCCTTCCATTTTTCGTTTTCCCAGGTCCCAGGAGTCGCTAATCTTATTAACCGGGTTATATCGGCTTCGAGTACTTGCAAAGTTTCTCCTGATTTTTGCGTTCGGTTTTATAACCGGGGTAATACACTTGCTGCAAATGTTTATTTCTCTGGTAGAGCTTCTAACCATGTTACAATTTGCTCTAAATCTTGTTACTGGTGTTCTAGAATCGTACGTCAAACCTCCACGTAACGCAGCTATCAGGAAGGTTGTCATGGATTCATTTATAACAGTAATTATTATTTATCATTTACAATTTATAACATAACACAAGCGCATCGAACTTAGAACTGGACTGATATCTCCTCTCCTTAAAGCTGCTCCAAATTTTCCAGTTTTGGAACATATTTTGGGGAAATCTGGCAAATTTTAGCAACAAGTTAATAGAATAAAAAAATATTGCGGCTACGTTTCTGTTGAATTACCATGCAAATTCCCTTAATTTTGAGGAATTGGGATAATGGAACGTAGTTTGAAATTAGAATAATTTGTAGGGATGAAGTCAAGACGTTCATTGGTGAATTATTAAAGTGAAGAAAAGGGTGAAGTGTCACGATGTGAACTGCAAGTCATGAATTATACATGGAAGGGTGAATTTGCTGTGACCACTGGATGAAAGGTTGCACTAAATCAATCGTAAAAAAATGTTTTAAAGGTTATTGTCGAAAAAAGCCATTTTTAAAATGATCCCCTGTCATAAAAAGGCCCCACCTGTTGCA